AGGGGCGTGGTTCTTTGCTAGAACTAATGATTGATGGAGAAAGATATCTATCCTAGTCAACTAAAGCTCCTGCCTCTTTTGCAATTCAGAAGTAAACAGGTAAGCTTCAACCCCAGTTCCATCCAGGAAGAGTTTCAGCAAGAAAGAAAAATAATCTATATATAGCAATGCATTTTTTAAAAATAATTCAGCTATAAATCAACAAGTTACATAAAATGTGAATATAGACTTATAAATGAAAAATATACAGTAGACGTCACTCCAAAATGCATGTGTGTCTCGGGTAAGTTCATCGAGCTTTTCAGATGAGCAATAATCTACTTCAGTAAGTATAAACACTTTCAGCTATATGCTATACAGACATAATTTATGTATAAATGTTTGTTCTCTTTCAATGAGTGGAGATTGTATTTTAAGTGTGTGTGTATATATACACACAGACACACACACACAGACATACTCAGATATGGAACGGCCAATTTCTCCCATGATTTTTAGCATAATGTTGCCAAAATAGTAAGTTTGCTATATTGCAACGCACAGAAAAAAGTAGAAAAATTTCAGTAAGGTTTATTCAAATACCATACATTATAAATGTATTTAAATGAAAGAATTTTTAGGATTTTCTTTCCTTTTTGTACTTCAAATAGCATAGCACCCTCTGGTGCATCTACTAGAAAGAAGATAACCAAGAATAAACACCAGTCACTGTTATAAAAAAGACAACATTAAAAAAAAAAAAAAAGATCCCTTAAAAGCAAAAAATGCCTAAGAATTGTTAGATATCAAATTTTAATTCCATTCTTTCTTATTAAAGTCTTTTATAACTGAGGAAATTATAACTATTGAAAAACAAAATAAAAAAAAAAAACAAACCTGCAGGTGTGCTAATATAAAAGGTTACCAGAAAAAAAAGGATTAGCTTCAAACTTCTGTCCGTGTTATTTTATTAAAAAATATTCTTAAGTGAAATATTCTTAAAAAAAAAAAAAAGGTAAGTAACTTAGTGAAACAACATGTTACATCAGGCAATATATCTGCTCTTGGTCTTACAAGAATGAAAATTATTAGGACGACAGCCACTCACACAATCATAAACTGCTAAATTTCACACTCAAATAGTCACAGCTCCTTTAAAAGTCCAATGGGAAAAGAATTAAAAAATAACATGATTGTACTATATGGAACACTTCGAACTTTGACATGACATGTTAACTATTAAAACACACCTAGTCACTGGGAAAATAATTTCCTACAAAAGTACATTTTGCTAATGACAAAAGCAGAGATCACCACCTGCTTTAGCAGCTCTTTTGTAAACCTCTGGAAGTCTCAACACAATGCACAAGAAATGAAGTGACACCTGTTTAATCAGCCATCTGTCCCTAACAAACTAGATTTAGCCAAATCAGTGTATGTACTGCTCCTTAAATTTCCAAAATATAGGTATACATAACATATATGAGAAAAGAGAACTATCATTATGATTGACAACCAACTTTACCAGAAATACATAAATAATAAACTTGTGGCTAACAGAAAAACATCATCTTAAACATTAGCCTATTCATTTTAAAAACTTCTTTAATTTTTCAGCCCTCATTCTTAGTAAAAAAGTAAGTAGTTTAATTCATAATTTAAAAACATACTGCTTTTGGTATTCTAATACATTCATTTGACAAAGAGTTTGATTTTGAAATGGAACTCCAACTACAAGGATACTACAGTACCACTGAAACCTTATTTTTTATTCTGTCAGTATTTGTGATGCATTCCCAACATGTTTCAACTGAAAATAATTTTTAAAAAGGAATTTAAGAGACATATATTCTTAAAAGCCTATTCATTTTTTAAGTATTCCACATGACAATACCTGTGGCTGGTAAGCTTTTGGAGACTGCAGGTAAAAATACTAATATGGAATATTTTAAGAAGGAAGGATGCCTTTCGTAAGAGGACAAAGTAAAGTATGAAAAACAGAAACACTAGCTAGAACATCAAAAGGAACTGCAATGATAAAAGATTATTGCATTTTAGATACTTGCTTACTTTTCAAGTAAGAAGAGAAGAAAACAGTAACAGCCTTCCCTCTCAATGTAAAGTTTAGTAAATGAAAAGAAATGGCAACATTTATTTCTGTAGACAGTTTTGTGATTAACAAACTACTGTTATCAGGTGGGAACAAGAAATGGGATAGTGCTAACAAAGCCGAACCTAATTATCAAATAAAGCACCCTGACTTTAAACTCTTTACCAGCATTGTACCTCTGATTCCCATTTCATTTACCTACACTACAATACTGAAAGGGTTTCTCCACAGTAGCACAATGAAGGTTAGCTCACTAACACCACAACAGAGCATATGATCCAGATAGGCTCATTAGGATATGCTGAAACATAATTAGTTACACAGTCTAAGTCATGAAAACCAATGAACAAAAAAATCACAAGCCACCTCATTTTCAAACACTGGTTAGCATCACAAACACCAACTATTTTGATAGCTGTGGGCATTAGCAAATCAGAATGCATAACGCAGATCTCATCTGTGATGGTTACAGTATTTCAGAGAGAATAGAGTCAATACTTTTCTCAGTGAAGTCCACAATACTAAAAGAGATGATTACGGCTGCATTATTATTTTCCAAATTGCAGTCACTGGCTAAAGAAAATGTGGCTAAAAAGGTCTTCGGTTTTAGACAAAATCACGTACTTTTAATCTGATTTTTAAGAAACAATTACACATTTCCTCACAGAGTTAAAACAGAAAGTTTGTCTCATAGCCTATGCATGCACTTTCCTCTTCTACTTGGAGTCTGGATACATGTTCTGCAAAGACAGATTTCAACACCCAGGAAGGATTCCATCCTGAGTAGTACTCTGTCCCACTTTAAGAGGGCTACTCAAGAAAGGCATGGTGCAGAACTGACATCTTTTCTGTTCAACAACAGTAGATACCAGGAATGATTTCACAACCAATGAATCGCATAAACTACCTGATAAAACTAATAACAAATACATTAAGATTTAAATGAGCCATATAACTGATACACTAACTCACACTGAAAATTCTTAATGTCTTTAGAACTTATTTGACAGCAGGACCTAGAAAGTTGGCACTCAGTGGTTTCATCTTGAGTAAAATCATAAAAAGATGACAATGGAGAGACCTGTGGTCATTACTTGAAATAATGTATTTTCCAAGTTCTTGTTGGCCCATGAAATATACATTAAAAAAAAGACAGATCCAACGTGCCTTAGCTCAACAAATGTTAATATCAACAATGCACTAACTACTCAGCATGTTTTATAGTTGATAGCTGCTTGAAAAAATTGCCCCTGTCACATTCATTGGTAGTTCCAATGTGAGACAAACCAATGTATTGTTGTTGAAATTGTAATGAGAAACCTTGCATTTTACACAGGGTTTTACAGATATAAAAATAGAAAAAGTGTATATACAATTAAAATGTAGATTTTAGATTAAAAACAGGAACATCCTTTTTCCTAACTTTTTTACTAAATAAAGCAATAGGGAAATAAATAAGTCATCACTTCAAAAAGAAAAAAGCTTGCCACAACAACACATAATTTGACAAGTCAAAGGGGAGAGTCCAACTGGATATGGAGATGTTAAAAGTTAATTTCATTGCCATAATAGGTGCCAAAAATTCACTTTACCCAAAAGAATTTGAAAAGTATATAAAGTATGATTTGATGCCACTGACACCACAAATCTTTAGATCTTAATAAGCAATCACAAAAAGGATGAAGAAAACAAGCATTCTGGATTGGAAAAAAAATGCAAAACATTCTCATTAATAACACAATTGCTACTACAGCTGCTTGAGAGGTAAAAATCTGCCTCTTCCCTCTTTCCCAAGGATACTCTTGAAATACGGTAGTAATAAAATCACAAAGATTTTTTTTTTAAATACTATTTCTTGTTTTCCCCTTTCTTTGCAGCTCAGCACACAAACTCGCAGTCAATATCTTGAATTTCCTTCATTGTGGAGAGTTTAAGGAAACTGAAATGGATTCTCTCCACACAAATGTAACTCACTGTGCATAAACTAGATCTACACATGCACTGTTTCATACTACATTGGCAGTATGAAAGCATCATTTAAAAAATAATTCCCTGCAAAAGGAGGGCAAGAAGAAAAAAAACCCTGCTACTCTGTGTGTGTATGGGTGGGGGTATTGAATAAACAAAAAAACACTTCACAATACAAAGAAAATACAGCTTGCACTAAAATAAGCAGCAACATTAATTATGACTAAAAGAAAAAATCACATGGCTGCATAAAGCACAGAAGAGCGGTTGATATGATCGATAGCAAAAGAGTATCATTAAAACATACAGCAGGTTCACAAAAATCTGCCACATTTCGCAGTTGCGTCAGATCAGAGCAAGGCCCTTACAAGCGAAAGGGGAAAAACACCCCCTGCTCCTGGTGTGCTACAGGATCCGCCTCTGGCTGCATCTTTCCTCCTACTCCCATGGTTTTTTCAGGGTTTAAAGTAAGTAACCTTCGGCGGCGGCTGGAGCCTGCTGCCCCGGTTTCTGCATTCCCCCATCCGTGCAAACGAGCGAGCGAGCAAGACGCATACCCACCGCATCCGAGCAATTGTCCTGGAGGTCCCAGAAGCGTGCCTCCTTCTCCATCACCGCCGAGCCTCTCTTCCTCTTCACTTCGCACGGCGGCCAGCTCTCCTCCCCGCCCAACGGGCACCCCCATCCCAACCGCCCCTCTCAAGAGCGCGCTCCCCACCCAACCGCAGAGTAAACCGCAAAAGGGCAGCGAGCCCGGCGACAGGGACGGGCGGGAGCGG